GCAGGGCTGGGGGCGCCAAACAACCCTTCCAGAGCTACCAGCTGCCTGGCCTCACCTCGCACAGGGTCGGGGGTAGCGGGGTGCCTGGCTCAGCAGGCCCGAGGGAAGGTGAGTGAGGGCGGGGAGGTGGCTCCCCTCCTGGATGTGTGTGTGACACGGAGAGCGCGTGACAGCTGAGCCCAAGTGACCCCTGAGAGCGCGCAGTGACTACAAGACTTATCCACGGCGCCTGATACAGGCCAGGCACTGCTTTAAACATTCTACCTGTTCTAACTCACTTAACCCTCTAGCAACTGCATAGGTATTACCATCCCCATCTTGCAGAGGGGAAAACTGAGGCCCAGAGGGTCCAATAACTCACCCTCAGTCTCACAGCTAGAAGGGATAGAGCTGAGGTTTGAACTCAGGCCACCGGGGCCCAAAGTCAGCTCTGAAGCCTCTGAGTGCTGGTGGGGGTTCTATCAGGGTGGCCACTGGGCTCTGCCCTCCTTGGCATAACAACATGGAGAGAGAAGCCAGAGGGGAAAGGGGGAGCCCATCCACACCTTATCCACCAGAACCGCCTGGTCGAGGGTCTGCTCACCTCCCAGGGTGCAGGCAGCAAGCTCGGGGCAGCACAGGGACAGGGCGCCCTGCCACCCCAATCAGCCCAGTGCAACTTGTGGGCCGTGCCTAGATCCTGATTAATTTGAGCAAATCAAAGGTCACAGGACGCTGATGAGACAATCAGAGAAACTTAACACTGAGTGGATATTTGATATCTAGTAAGAAGCAAAAACTGGGAGAAAAAGGTTTTTCTGACTCCCGGTGTTGAATTTTTCCTCAACCAGAGCAGTGCGCTCTGTGGCACTGCGGAGCCATTGCAACGTCTGTAAACTTGCCTCCTTGAGCACCAGGAATTCATTCATTTTAACTTTTTAGTTGTGACATGTGGTCCTACTTTTTTAAAGAGCCTTCATCTTTTAGCGATAAATACTGAAATGTTTAAGAATAAAACGGTAGAACATCCCGGCTTTGCTGACCAACGGGAAGAAGGGGTAGGAAGACATAAACAGGATCAGCCGAGAGCTAATGTTGGCTGAGGCTGGGGGCCGATCTGTGTCCTTGGACGGGGCCATTCTCTCAAGTTTTGTGAATACTTGAAATTTTCTAAAATTAAAAAGGCTTAACCTCTGACTATGAAGATTATAATCGCCTTCACTCCATCTGTCCTGCATGATTGTTAAGACGGTCAACATTTTACTTTCCAAAGGAGAGATGGATGGAAGGGCATAGGTCTTCACCTGCCTGGGTTGGGGGGATGGGAGAGACTTGGACGGCTCACCTGCAGCTGGGGCGTGAAGCAGGAGGTGGGGCTGGGAGGGAAAGCATCCAAAGTCTAATGTCTGTTCTGATCTTCTGGCGCTGCCTCCGTGGGGCTGCGGCAGATCCAGAGGGCACTGCGTGGCTGGACACTCAGAGCGGAGGTCCTGGGGCCGGGTGAGTGGTTCCCCATGACAGAAATGAGGAGGGGAGTGTCTTCCGTCAGATCATCCAGAAGCAGAGCCTGAGACGAGGATTTTGTGCAACTGACTTAGGAGGGAGAACTCCCAGGAGAAGATGGGGGAAAGCAGGACAGGGCAGGGGAAACAAGCCAAGGATGGATGTGGTTTCTGCTGTGCACTGGCTTCAGCCGGATCCCACTGGCAGGTGGCCCAGGAGCACAGACTGGGTCCCACTATGAGGCAAGGGGACCAGCCTTCTCTACCCATGCCGGTCAGTCCTTGCCTGCATTGTCAGGGGGAGGGAGTGTAATGAAACTCTCCAGAGGGAGCAGCTGTGAACCTTTGGCAGCCGACAGTTCAACAGCTGGAAAGACGATCTGGGACATGGGGGCACCCACAGCATCTACCCTAGGGAGAAATTCACTACCTACAGCCCCATCCTGCCCTCCAGTCACTGACCATTGGAACTGGGAGGGGTCTTCGCCATTTCCATTCCGATTCCAGGAACTCATACACACAGAGACAATTTTGAGGACACAGAGCCCCAGACATGGAAAGGGACTTGCCCAGGACCTCTCAGGGCCAGGACTGGAATCCAGGCCTCCTGACTCCATCCCAGAGCAGAACCCTCCGTTCCCTTCAGGGCCCCTGGCTCCCGGCAGGTGAATCTCTACACCCACACTCTGTTTGACACACAGTGGGAAGGCTGGCTTTGGGACTTCCATGGCTGTTTTTTGACTGGCATTCCCTGAACCCTGATCCTCTGTAGGTGGCCTCTGGTCCCCCACCAGCCACTCTGTCACACGGTGTGACTCGATGCCTCTCAACCCCACCTTTCTCTGCTCACGCACATGCACACACGTGAACATGCACACACACACACCCTCAGAAGCTCACCCTGTCATCTGAGTCTTCACAGCACAGTCTGAGTAGGGTCACAGGTTTTCTCTGCCTGCTCAACCACAAACCTCCCACAGACAGGTCTTTCTCACTGCCGCTTGGGTCCCTGCAGTGTGGAGCTCAGGGCTCCATATATGAGTATCAGACCACTAATGCAATGTCCGCGGTCCTCTCCTTCCCTGTCCACACCGGTCCCCCCTTCCCCGGAGCCCAGAGCCCGCACACCCTCTCCGCCTGCGATCACCCCTCCTGATGATGAGACCAGGGTATGTCAGGTCTTAACAGACAGGACAAAGCGGCGCCCGGTGGCAGGATTCCAGGGGCGCGGCAGGCTGGAGGTAACTGGCCAGTGTTTAGTGAGAGTTTGCGGTGTGCCAGGCCCCTGCACGTGGCAGTCGTTATCCTGTTTAACCCTCCCGCGTCCTGTCCCCGCCCAGCACCCCTCACCTGACAGGTGAGGAGACGAAGTCAACCTGCCCAAGGTCAGAGCTCCAGAGAGCAGAGCCAGCATCTGGCCCAGGCTTGTCCACTCATGACCTGGTCTGCTCTGTCAGGGGGCAGTGGAGGGTCCTACCCCCTCTGTCCCTGCCCACCCTGCCCTCTGGGACCCAAAGGAGCAAAAGGAATATGTTTGGATACTGGCTGGTTTCCCTGAGATGCCAGGCTGGCTGGGCCTTGGGGTCCAAGCTGGCTGAGGGAACAGGGGAGGGCTGAAGGCTGAAAATGTTCCCCCCACTGCCCACAGCAGTCCCCTGTCCCCTCGCCTCCATCAGCCACCTCCACGGCCAAGCAGCCCTGCACGGGCTTCTGGAGGTGCAGTGGGCAGGGTTACAGGGCAGCAGCCTCGGGAGGACCCCCAGCCCACCCTGTCTCAGACAGCAGGAGCTCATCCTCACAACAAGAGACTTTTCCTCTGGTTGTCAGAGCCCAGCTGCCTGCGCCTCCTCCCCTCCCCCTCCCGCTGTATAAACTCCCTTCTATCCCATTAGCAGATCATTGAGAGTTGGAAATGGCCCCAGAGACCACAGTCCCATCCCTGCCTCCACTGTGACATGCACATGAGAAAACCAAAAGGAGGGCCATGAAAGCCAGAAGAAGACCAGAATTTAAAGTTTATAAGTTTAAGGCTACTTTGCCCAAAAATATTCCCCACAGAGTACCAAGTATGTCGAGTCATTGGACTATGAGATAAAGTTTCCATGGCCAATTAAGTTTGGGAAGCGCTCTTAATATTAAAGCAGGATGCTCCACTGCAGGAATTCTCAGAACTTTTAACATGCTAAAGAGGGAGAAGGGGATACCTGGGGTTTCTCAAACTTTTTTGATCATGGAAGACTTCTGCTACTTATCTGTCAGGACCAGTATTCCATGGAGCATACTTTGAGAAAGGTTCCTCTGGCTTCTTGAATCCATCCCCTATTGGATATTTGACCCACCTGCAGTGCCACGACTCTGAAAAGTGAATGAATGCCCAGGTAGAGGCATTTCTGTCTCCCACCATCACTCCCTCCACAGCAGGAAAACTGCAAATTATGGGTGCTCAGATAGGACCTCCTGACCCACACAGTCAGAATTAAAAATCAAGATGGATGTGACCCCCGTTTCTTTTTACTAGAAAGAATAAAAACAGCCCAATCCCAGATTCCCCAACCCCATTCTCCTGAGAAAGACTTCAGCTTTTCTCGCCAAGGCCCTGGGCAGCTCCCAAGTCTTGATGGGCCCCGCACCAACAGACAATATCGTGATCCGGCCCCTGCCAAGTGGAGCTTTCAGCCTCGTGCAAAGATTTCCCCAACCCCTTTCTCATGCCTGTTAAAACCTCCAGAACTTTTATTTTTATTCACTGAGGCAACAGGGCATGAAAGACTGAAGTCCATAAGCTCTGGAGCCAATCTACCAAGTTTTGAGTCCCAGCCCAGGCATTTACTGGCTGTGTGACCTTGGGCAGGTGACTTAACCTCTCTGAGCCTCATCTGCAAAATGAGAGCAGGGGCAGAATTTACCTCATAGGGTTGGGATGAGGATAAAATCAGATCGTGCATGTAAAATGCTTATCCTGGTGCCTGTAACAGAGAAAACACTTGTGAACGTTGACTTAGGTGTGTTGGCTCAGTGTTGGCTCGTGGTAAGTCCTCAGCAGAAGTTTCCTTCCCTTCTCTTCCCCATAGTCCCAAACCCAGGAGCCACCACCATTGCCACAGTTGGTAGGATGATTATTTGATTCCCACCTGCCTTCTTTCGGTTTCATCCGTGGACCAGTGGATGGTGACTGGTTACGAAGTTCCCCTCACCTGCCCAGGCCTCCTGCACCCCCAGGCTCTTGCCAGACTTCAACTTGGGTGCGATCTGTCTTGCAGCACTTGGGAAGTTTGCCCAGTCCTCCTTTTTCTGCCCTGCATAAAGAGCCACATCCCTGCAGCCCCACAGAGGCTGTGAGGCCGTTTGTCCCCATCCCCAGACACAGGTTACTCCAGGTCACATCAAGCTCAGGGGTCGCCACACTGTCCAGCCACTGTTCTAGGAGGCCCTGGCCCAGAGGGCGGAGGTCTCACCCAGGCACAAGCCCGAGATACGACAGTTCTGACCTGGCCCGCTGCAGGGTGCTTGGCCCAAGTCATGGTAGCCAAACCCAGTGGAGTCGCCGCAGTTACTCCCACGTCTGGGAGGCTCCCGCCGAGGCAGGCCCTCAGCCCCACCTGGCCTGGCCTGACAGGTCCACCCCGGAAGGTGACCCAGCCCAGCCTCCTGCCTCCGGACTGGCACCTGGAGAAGCCCAGGAAGACGAGCCGCCTTCTCAAGGAGCTGGGCGTGAGTGTCCATTTCCTGAGGCGCAGGGGTTGGGGAGGGGAAAGGGAGGAGGGGGCACACGAGGAGGAGCCCTGAGGATGGAGGAGAGTGAAAGAGCCCCCAGCTTCCCTGTTTAACACCAATCCTAAAACTTACAAAGCTGTTGAGGGATGGGAGAGGCTGTCTACACCTACAGCAACCGCGTATGGGCTACAAGTTTCCTCCCTTCCCTTCTCCTCCCCCTCCCCCGACCCCCTGGGCACTGGCGTGGCCACAGGCACGGGATTCCCACCTGCCTTCGGAGAAGTGGTCCTTCCTTGCAGACCTGCCAGGATCCCTTAGAAGGTGGGAAGTGGACTTGGTTCAGCCAGCTGCTCCAGGACCCTAGCGACCTCCTTTAGGGCCAGTCCCCTGATGGCAGCGCCCTGCCCCCTGCCCCTCTCCTGCCCAGGCCTGCCACGTTGCCGTCGCTCTGCTGTACTTGATCCTTGGGGCTTACCTGGCTGCTACAGTCCAGAGCCTTCACCTGGTGGTGCTGAAGTGTTGGTATCCGTTCTGGGGAGCTGCCTCTGTGAGTAGACACCAAAACGTGGGCCAGCTGTGGGGGTTAGCAGGCGATCCTGGAGGACCTGGCATTTAGGACCGGATGCAGGATGGGGCGGAGAGAGCAAACAGGGGAGACAGAGCAGGGAGCCCCTTTCTCCAGTCTGTGGCTCTAGCTCTGCTCTCTCAGTGACACTGGAAGAAGCAGCTCCTTTCCAGGGGCCCCTTCAGGCCTACAGCCCAGGAGAGCGCCCCTAATTTAGCATGTGTGCCCAGGAGAGAGGAGGGTGAGGGTGAGCCTGGGGGATTGCACCTTCCTCAGACTTCTGGGCAGCCAGGCTGCCTTTGGATCCAGCCACCCACCCCTGACTCCTGAAGTCTCTGTTGGGGACAGTCTGCAGGGCGCAACAGTGTAAGGCGTGGCTCCTGTCCTCTCTCATCCTCAGCCAGGATGAGAGATAAGAGGACACCAGTGTGAACACCTTTCCTGAAGGCTCCCCAGGGCATCTTCCCCACCCTGGTCCAGGTGGAGCCCTGCTTACACGGCAAGTCCCAGCTCCTCAGCATCCTCTCAGGCAGCTGTCCCGACCCTGCCATCACTTCGGCCCTCGGTCCCCACTGCCCCTGCTCCAAGCTTTCAGTGCATGGTGTGGGAACTGTCTCCGCACGGGCACCTATCCATCCCTGTGCTTCCAGTAACAGGTGCATAGTAGGCGCTCAGCACTCAGTTGAAAGAATAATTGCAGAAAAACACCAGGGACCCAAGAACCAAGAGCTAGTATCCTCCCAACCGCAGGATGGAGAGGGGTGAGGGTCAGAGTGGAAGGGACAGTGCAGGTGATCCCAGGATGCTTTGGGCTGGTAAACCGGGGATGCAGGAGAGGCCAGGAGGGCTTTCTGAGCGCAGGACACAGCCCGAGCCCAGAAGCGGAGGTCTGTGCGCAAAAGGAAGACCAGCCTAGCTGGAGTGGGGTCGGGGACGGGCCGTGTGCGGGCAGGGTCAGCTCCCTTAGTCGGAGGGATGATGTTCTCTGCCCCACCAGCTGCCAGAGGCCGGTATTTTTGGAGATTAGCAGGAAGGGAATTTGTGGGTTTCAGGGAACTCCAGCTTCTCTCTTATGACTGTTTCAAATCTGGCCCGCAGTTCCTCATTTCAGGGATCTTGGCGATAACGAGGGACATGTTTCGGAAAAACTATCTGGTAAGTCCGAGCGTCAAGACCGTTCCCTTCTGTCCAGAGGCTGGGGTAATGTTGCAAAGAGCATCGTACGCTGGGGATTCAGGAGGCCGGTCAGGATTTGCTAGGAGCGGGCACAAGCCTCATGGACAGCAGAGGGTGTCCTAACAGAAAGGTCCCCCATCCTGGAGGTCTGCCCTCACGCCCCCAACTCCCCACCTTTCTCTCCACCCACTGACCTTCCTCCACTCCAGCTGTGGCCACTGTCCTGTCTGACCTGGAGGTGTCATACAGCCTGTTCACACAGAAGCCTGGTGATTGTCCTGTCAAGCCCCCCTCAGCTCCGCTGTGCCCTGGGCTTGCCTCTAACATCAGCAAGTCTACAAGGCCTGCAAGCCGGGCTGCAGCCAGGTGTCCGTCAACTTTTCATCTGTAGGTGTCGGCCTGACACAGCTATTTCTCCCCTGCGCTGTGCTGTCTCCTACCCGAGCACCTTGCCCTCTCCCCTCTGGGCATTCTCTCCTGGTTTTGACTTCCTCCCAATCATTCTTCCAGGCTCAGCTTACACACCTTCTCCTCCAGGCAGTCTTCCTGATCTGCCATAGCTGGCTTCTGTGTCCCCACAGCTCCTTGGACTTCCCTGTCTCCTGTCTCTCTCATGCACTAAGTTTGGACAGCGGGTGTCTGAGCATCTTTCTAGCCCGGGGTGGCCCAGGGAGGCACAGAGCAGACACCCACACAAGCCTGGAAGGATGGAGGTGGAGGGGAGATGGAGGGACCATCCCCAGCAATCCTATGTCGTGGCCTCAGTCCGCCCCCTGCCCCCAAGCCTTGGTGGGGTCCACATTCATGCCCTCCCAGCCTGAGCCGGGCTGTGGCTGCCCCCGCCCTCTCAGGGGATGTTGAGATTAGGATGGTGTTGTACCACTTACCCAGCAGAGGCACGAGATGCTTGGCAAAGACCTGGTCTCTTCTTAGAACCCTGAGCCTCCCCTTTCCTACACCTGAGTAAAAGGATACTCTTATTGCGGAGAAGTCCATTCTAGCAAAAGGGGTAGGAGGTGCCTTATGTCTGTATGCTTTCCCCGTTATGGGGGTTTGCACTTGGCAAGAGGCTCGTGGAATAATGCATGACCCAAGATGGTGATGAACAAGGGTGTTTCAGGGGCCATGGTGGGTGGGGAAGGAGGTGAGTGAGGACAGAGCACCCTCAGGGATGGCTCTGCCCTCTCCTGAGGGGAAGGAGCAGGGTAGGGGGCCATTTGGGCGTTGAGACCCTGATCAGCTGGCACATACGATGCCAGGATAGTTGGGGACAGCTTTGCACGGGAGACGGCAGGGGAACCTCCTTCTTTATTACAAAGCCTGTGGATCCAGAGGTGGCCCTTTGATTCCCCCAATCTTGTCCCATAGGAGGTGAGGGCCGGTTGTGGCCTCCTAGGTGATCAGCTAGCTCAGAAAGCCATGTTTGGGTGTGGAACCTCAGGCCCAGAGACGGGCAGCATTTTCCTGAGGTCACAGAGCGAGCTACTTGCTGACCTGGATGGAGAACTTAGATCCTGTCTCTAACCTTCAGACACTGGTTGTTACTTTCACTTGTTGCTTACAGACGGTGTGCCTGAGCACAAACACCATCAGCTTCTTCTGCGTGCTGGCTGGCCTCTTTGTCATCGCCAAGGATCTCTTTCTGGAGAGTCCATTTGAGTTCCCCATCTGGAGACCATACCCCAGTGACATAGTGCGTATCCAAGCCCCGGGGGTCCTCTGACTCCCGGGAGCGTGTTGCCTTGGGCTTGGCTGAGTGGAAGTTTCTAGCTCTCAGAAAACCTCTTACGGGGTCTGGCATGGGCAGTAGGGCCCTTGGTGGATCTGTTCCCAGCCCATCCCCTCCGAGGAGAGGTACAAAAAGGGATGATGGCCTTCTCACTGGTCAGCATCAGGGAGCTGGATGGGGCCTTGAGTCACTGGGTCCAACTTTAATAGGTGGAAAACCTGAGGCCCAGAGAGGGGGAGAGGACTGTCTGGGGCTGAGCAGCAAGTTGGCAGCAAATTTGAGGACCACAACCTGGGACTGCTGATTCCCTGTTCCAGGCTCTTTAAATATCATAGCCCTGGTGACCCCATGATCTGACGGCCTCACAGCAGCCTCACAGAGCTGGCCGAGTTCACTTTGTTATCCCCATTTTATGGGGGTGAACACTGAGGTCCAGAGAGGCTGAATTAGTGGACCAAGGCCACACAGCAAGGCAGGAGTGCAATGAGGACTCAGACTGGTCTGACTCCAAGCTCAGTGCTCCTTTGACCACAGCCGCCTCTGAAGCAGAAGGCAGACCAGCCATTCCGCATGGGTGCCTGCGGCCTTGGGGCCAAGATCCAAGGGTTCTGACCACGGTGGTTCACTACCCTCTGTTTCCCTCCTCCATGCATGTGCAGGTGTGAGCACACACACGTGCATGGACACACACACAAACTTCCTCCCCAAATGCTCGTGGCCCTATGAGACATCCTAGCTGTGGTCTCAGCCCAGCTCCCCCACCCTCCCCCAGCTCTAAGAGATGCTCCTTCTCTCTGAGCCTCGATGTCCCCACGTGAGTGGGGTTGGAAGAGACGATGCTTAAGGCCACCTGCTCTTCTACCAGGGACCCAGGAGATTCTCCAGCTCTCAGTGTTACTCACTGAGAACCTGTGGGTACCAGGCACTGAGCATAGAGCCGTGACTGAGACAGACCCCGTCCCAGCCCTGCAGAGCCCTGCCCTGCCTCCCCCTGCACACCTGAGATCCGAAGCCCCACTCCCCTCTGCTGGCAGGTCTGACCCCTGCCAGTGCCCCCGTGATGGGTGCAGCTACCCAGCGATGCCTTACCTGCCTCTCCCTCCCAGGTCCACATCCAGAGACTGGAGCTGGGCCTACTGTGCCTCACCTGCCTGGAGGTCTTCCTGCCGGGGCTCACAGCCGTCATGGCCTACAGGGATGCTCGCCTGTCTGCAGAGGTGAGAGCCTGCAGCAGACGGGAAATGAGGCTACAAGAGGTGCAGAAAGGGGAGCGGGGTGGGGGCATGGAAAGGACATGAAGAATGCATCTCTGACTCTATGCCAAGCATTTCCTAAGTGGGGCCACAGAGAAGGGGAGACAAAGCCCGGGGACAGAATGCCAGCCCAAGGTGAAAAATGTGGGGCTACCAAAGAGAAAACACCACGGGTGTTCAGAACGTCCAGCCACTGCACTCTCAGCTCTGAAAGCCCTGGAGATCTCATACTGAAGATTCGTGAGGCTGGCAGGATGGGACCTGCAGGTAGGCTGGGAGAAGGGACCTGCAGCTCAGGGAAGAGCATCTGTGGCAGCTCAGAGACAGGCCAGGGAAGGCTGGCAGAGCTGCAGCACGTGGTGGGGTGTGGCTGCAGTGGGAGTGAGCAACGGGGGATCACAGGGACTGGGCCCTTCGGGGATACCAGGTGCCCTCTCTGTTAAGCAGGTTAGAGAAACAGAACTTACTTAACTTAATCTTCTCAACTACCCTCTGAGGTAGGTACTGACTTTCCCATTCTACAGATAAGTAAACTGAGGCTTAGAGAAGTCTTGTCACTTTCCAAGGTCAAACAGCCATAAGGAAATCCAGGACTCAGCCCGGGGCTGGTCTAACCCACGGCCAAGCCCCCATGTACTTGGGAGAGCAGAACAGCAGCCTGGGGTCAGATATGTTTTGAAATTAAAAAAAAAGCTAGTCTCTCCCCACCCTAGAAGTGATTTCCTAGGCTCATTTCTTTAAAGGAAAAAAGTTCATACTATAATCTTGACTTGAGAACAACGTAAAAAATGTAGGTTCTAAATTCCCCATAACTCTGCAGCTTTAACGCGGCGGCTGTCTTCTCGTTAGTGTCATCCGTCTATTGAGTTTTCACGTGACGCTGATACAACTTTGCACTTGATTTTGACTTAACACGAAGCAAGTTAGCTGTCCTGGTCTGCCTGGCTGTCTGGCAGAAGTCTTGCTGAGATGTTAGAGAGCTGGTAGGGTCCTTGTGTCACTGAGGCCAACCCCACTTTCAAGGATGGGGAGACCACGGTCCCACTACCTGGCGGCAGGAGCTAACAACAACTCTTCCTCCTTCCTGGCACTCGCCGTGTGCAGGGCGTTGTGCTAAATGCTGCAGGCAGCTGTATCAGTTTCCTACCACTACTGTAACAACTTGTCACAAATTCAGCAGCATAAAAGGACACAAATGACACAAAAACGATCTTACAGTTTTGAGGTCAGCAGTTTGAAATGGGTCTCTGTGGGCTAAAATCAAGCTGTGTGGGCAGGGCTGCCTTCCTTTCTGGAAGGAGAATCTGTTTCCTTGCCTCTTCCAGCTTCTCGAGGCTGCCGGCATTCCCTGGCCTGTGTTCCTTCAAAGCCAGCGGCCCAGCATCCTCCAGCATCTCCCTTCTGTCTCCTTCCTGTCTCCCTCTTACTCCATTAAAGACCCTTGGAATTACATGGTTCCTACCTGGAAAATTCAAGACAATCGCCCCATCTCAACCTTAACCTGATTAGCAAACTTGATTCCCCTCTGCCAGGTAATCTAACACGGTCACAGGTTCAGGGGTGAGGACACAGACGTCTTTGGGGGCCACAACTTCTTCAACCTCATGACCACCCTGAGAGCAGATTCAGCTTTCCTGTTTCTAAGAGGAAGAATGAGGCTCAGAAGGGTTAAGTGGCTCCCGACAGTCATGCAACCAGCAAGTGGCCGGGTCCCCAGGGCTTCTGTGCCCTCCTGCATCTGGAAGCCAGTGCTGGGGACAGGCTCTGCAGCTCCCCATCGCTAACCCAGGGACGAGGATGCGGCGGCATTAGACCTGCCCTTAAAATGAATTCTAACCCAGAGGGACCTTGGCGTATCCGCTGGCCCAGCCCCACTGGGGAAGCCAACAGGGTGAGCGATCTGCAGGGTCACCAGGCCCAGAACGAGGGCAGGGTCTGCTGTCTCCCACCTGGCCTCTTCCTTCTCAGGATTAGGGAAGGGGAGAGAGTCACACACTGGCCTCCTGAAAGTCCCTCTGTCTCTTGAGCCTCAGTTTCCCCATCTTCACGGGGACTTGAGACTCCAAGTAAGCCGGTGGGAAGGGCTTTGTCAACAGTCACTCACTCCACGTATGTGAGCAGCGGATGGTGGCCTCTCTTTGCAGAAGGATGACCTGTCCCTTGTTCCTGGCACACCGTTGGAGTGCAGAGGGCCGCCAATGACGCCCCCACCATCATACAAGGACGTGACTCAAGGCGACACGCAGGACGAGCAGGAGCAGAGGTGAAGAGGTCTTGGGCTCCCCCACTGTCTGAGCTCACCCCGCGGTCCCTTCTCCCGGGCAGATTTGGACCGATTCCGACGGGCAGTTACCAGAAGGAGCAAATGGGGCCTTTGCTAGAACCTTCGTCCTGTGCTGGTGGTTGAGGCTGAGGCAGTCCTCATGCCCTCAGGCACAGGAGGGACCCCCAGACCCCCACCCCCTGTAACACCTCTACACCTCACTGGCTGGCTGGACCAGAGCACGACCAGGTCCTGCCCGCCCACCCAACCAGCCTTGGGGGTGGGCCCCTGGGCTGGCAGCCCCCAGCACCCCTTCCTCACTCCCTGGGCACTTCCCCCAGTCAGTGGTGGGTGCATGGGGAGCCTGTCCATGTGGGGCTGTGTGTGGAGTCAGAGAAGGGTCCTCTGAGCCCAGGGAGGCACCACCTTCCTTGGACTCAACCCACCTAGAGCTCTCCGGGGAGACTTGTGCATCTGAATCCCTAGATTTGGAGTGGAGGCAGCCGGGGCGCTGAGCCAAACAGAACCTGTGACCAGCTCCTCCCTCCAAAGCATCAGCGTGTCCCCCTGACCCCTGGGGTCTCAGTGTCTCCATCCATACAGTGAGGGGGCAGGTGGATGAAGTGGTCCAAGGCCTTTCCGCCAGGAAGTTCTGAGATCAGAGTCAAGTTCAGGATCCTGGCCATGATGTCCGAGGTTGCCAGTGAAGCTTCACCCTCAGAATTCAACACCCACTTGTGCTGAGTGAATGGGGGAGAGAGACACCTTCCTCATTTCCCGAATTTCAGTCATCCAAGGACAGTCTTTGCGAGTTTTGTTTATTTTCAGACTGTACTATATTCCCTTTGTGTTTCCTTAAATTGATTTTTTTTCTCATATACTATTATATTAGAGGGGTACTTTGTATCAGCAACAAACAGGAAGTCAGTATCTTTCCATAAAAAGAAGCCAACCACAAAAATGAAACAAAACCAGCTTGCCACGCCACCTCTGTGATCTCACCAGCTACTTTCTGCCTCTTGTTCACTCTGTGTCAGCCACCGTGACTTCCTCGAGGTTACACAGACACCCCTGGCACACCCCCGCCTTGGAGCCATCCCCGCGCCCTTCCTTTGCCCAGACTCTCTTCCCCCAGGGATTTGCAGAGCTCGCTTTTTGAATCTTTACTGAGTTACTGGCTCTGGACCAAGGCAGATATCATTTAATCCTCCTATCAGTCTGGGATGTAGGTTCTGTTACCATCCCCATTTCATGCAGGCTCAGAGAAGTTAAGCAAGTTGCCCAAAGGCACACAGCTAGTAAGTGGCCGAGCTGGGATTTGGATGCAGACAATCTGGCTCCAAACTGGCACCCTAACCCAGCTAGAGTACGGCCACTGGGAGGTGCACTTTTGCTCTTCAGACGAGACTGGCACACATGAGACGCTAGCACACCAGTCTACACAGCCAAGTCAGCCCTCGCAGCTCATGGGAGCCCTGTCCTCCCCGACGGGCCACTTCCCAGGGAGCCCAGGTCCTTGGTTGTCTGGGATGGAGTCCTCTGCACAGTTCTGTAAAATCCCTGTGTGCAGTGATGCCCCCAGGGTCACCTGCCCTTGCACCAAATATTCCCGGAATCTGAGATTCTCTGAATTCTCCTATCTGCTTTGCCGCCTCCCTCGTGGCCACTGCTGGCTGTCACCTCTGGTTTGGGTCACTGGCCTGCCTTTTTGCTTCACTGCTGATCTACTGCTTCTGTGAGTTGCAGCTGACTTTAGAACAGAGTGTAAGTAGAAGTCACTGCGCTTTGCAGAAGCATCAGAGAGAGCCAAGAGCCATGCAAATGCTTGGGGCAAATACGGTCTCTGAAGGGCGTGATGAAAAGGTGAAAGAACAGGGTGTGATGGGCCGCGTGGCTGTCTGGAGAGCCAGTGTAGATTCCAGCCGTGCAGTAACTTGCACTGCGATCTGACTCCGCCCCTTCCTCTGCTGGGCTTCAGTTTCCTTATTTGGAAAATGAGATGTTGTACTAGAGTGGTGGTCTGCTTGGGTCAAAGTAGGACACTTTTTTGATTTATGTTTTCTAAAATAATTAATCAATAAAAGACATGTCAAAACAACACTCCCTCTCAAAGGGCATGGTGTCGTGGCCACTGGGGAGGGCTGGGGGAAGGTCCTGCGGCTGAGTGGCCCTCAGGTGAGTTGGCCACCGCCCAGTCCCTCTGGGCTGCTGGACACCACACCCTGGGGAGGGGCTTCACCGCTAGCCAGCTGACACCTTCAGCCCACGGGATGCAGGACTTCTGACCCCGGGTTCAAAACTGAAAGTAGTTTCTGACCACTGCTGTTGCTGTAGGTAAGTTTTTGTCACCATTTCGAAATATATTTAGTCCTTAAACTAAACCTAATACAGGAGGGTTACAATGACTAAACAAGTGTTTTTGCATTTTGTATATTTGCTTTCTCTTTCTCCATCCCTGTCTATACTCCTCACACACACACACACACATACACACACATACACATACACACATATACACACACATACACACATATACACATATAAATACACACACACACATATACACACACATACACACATGCACACATACACACAGACATCTATATAGCTACTTCTTTGTTGAACCATTTGAAAGTAGGTTGCAGACATCATGACCCTTCACCCCCAAATTCTTCCCCCTGCATTTTTTCCTGAGAATATGAACATCCTGCATGATCACACTATCACTGTCACACTAAGAACATTAAAAAGATTTCCAAAGCTGGTAGGACCAGATAAATTGGGAGTACGAGATTTGCAAATATTAACTAGTACATGTAAAATAAACAAACAACAAGTTTCTTCTCTAGAGCACAGGGAACTATATTCAATACCTCATAGGAACCTATAATGAAAAAGAATATGGAAAGGAATATATGTATGTATCTATATGACTGAAACGTGATGCTGTACACCAGAAAGGGACACAACATTGTAACGGACTATATTTCAATAAAATAAAAAAAAAGAGAATTCCTTAATACTAATACCCTGCCATACTCAAATTCCCCCACAGGACCAAAATGTCCTTTATTATCTTTTATTTTTAACCCAGATCCAATTGATTTTCATAGTCAAACAATCAAATCGATATTTGATTGTTACATCATATTATTGTCTTTTAATCTGGAATAATCCTGTCATCTTATTTTCACAACACAGACTCTTTGAAAAGAGCAGCTGTCTTGCGGAATGTCTACTTGTGTCTTCGTGGCGGCCCTTCACTTCCTTTTCAGTCTCCTTCCATCTCTTGGATTTCTCTAAGGAGAAAGTCTCAGTTTGGGACTAATCTGCTAATCTCTCTTCTTCCCATGAGACAGCAGTCCTAACACACAGCAGGCAATGGCGTTGAGACAGAATCTAACAATGCTGGTTTGCTTTCTTTGGGTTGACTTCTGTGGCTGCCTTCTCCTCACTACAAGTGACCCTGGATTCACAGTGATGGTACTGATACAAAGTGCTCTTTTTAGTACACGTCTGTAAGTCCAAACAAAGCAATGACTGGCGTGGGGTCTCTTTGAGGGGGTGATGAAAACACTCTAGAATTGTAGTGATTGGTTGCAACTCTGTGCATCTACTAAAAATCATTGAATTCTTTTTAAAGTCCATTTAAAGAAACCCATTGAACAGATAATGGTACAAGACACATATAAAGATATAAAACTCGTGAAGGTAGAGCTTGGATGATTGAAGTCTGGGAAACAAGGCAAGGAGGGCCCCGCACTCCACCCTGTTTACCAAAAGGAAGTAGGTTTATACTCTGAGGTTGAGATTAAAACCTCACTTTGGCCCTCAACTCTGGAATTCTACTTCCTGGTCTCATAGAACTTTTGTCCTGGAAGAATCTCTGTGGATTATCTCATTTAAGCCCTCAAGTGACAGACGGAGAAACTGAGGCCCCAATGGGTGAAGGGGCTCATTGAAGGCTACCCAGCAGGCCTTTGACCGAATTGAGGCTAGAACCCAGGTCTGCTGCCGTCACCCCACCACCCATGACGTGCTCCCCAGCCTTGGCCAACTCATTCCCTGGGAGTCTGACAGCAGGAAGGAGGCCCACCGCTCTCTGCATCCATCCCCCACCCGAAGGTCCTGGCTCCCCAAAGCTATGGTCTCCTCCTGTCCGTAGGACGATCCTGCAAACCCTAAACTCACCCCCACCGGGAGCACCAAGAGAACTCTCAGTCACATCCTTCCTTCTTCCCCACCTGCACCCAGGTCCTCAAGGCAAGTGATGGAGGCATCGCACTCATTCATGCCCTCCTTCCACAAAAAGACCGAGTTCCTCCTGTGACGTCTGGGGTTGGACAACCACGAGCAAACCCCTACATGTTCCCCAGCCTCTTTGAGGTTAGACTCTGGTGGGCGGGACAGGCAGTAAATGAACGATCACACCAATAAATGCCTAATTGCTAGAAGGGAAATGGAGAGATGTTATGGAGAATGTGATGGAGAATTGACCTGAAATACAGGGTGGGCAGGGAGGGGGGCATCAGTCAGGCCTTTCCTCGGGAGGTTGTCCTAACGGGGGCCTGAAGGCTGCCCAGCGCTGACCGGGAGAGGGCACACCGAGGCACGGTGTCCGAGCTGGCCGGGCCCTGCCGCGTCTTCCATGCATGCTGAGCTCTTCCCAGACCTCAGACTTCAGCCCACGCTCTCACCTCCTGTCCACCCCAGATGGCCGCCATCACTTCCTCGCCGCCTCCCCACTCCTTCCCAGTATCCCACTGCCCTGCATTCATTCAGGAGCAACTTGCCTGCCGAGGGTTAGACAACCAGGGGAGCAGAACCAGTGGGAGATACACACGGAGGTTTGTTGCAGGGAATTGCTAATGTGATTGTGGGGCTGGGCCAGCTGTCAGGAAGGACGTGCTGGATCTCCCGGGCATGAGCTGGAGCTGCCATCCATGGAGGGAGTTTCGTCTTCATCAGGGAAATCTCGGTTCCATTTTTCAACCCTTTCGTCTGATTGAATCAGACCCACCCAGATTACCTAGGAAAATCTCCCTTACCTAAGGTCAGCTCACTGTGGAGTCAGTCACATCTACAAAACAAACATCCTTACAGCAACACCTTGATGAGTGTTTGGCTGAATGCCTGGAGACAGGATCCTAGACAGATGGGTGCAATCAAAAACTATCACGTTTAAAGTTACTTAATAAAGACTTGTTTCCATCAAAGATATGAATAAATAAACCTATCACAGACACACAGACACAAAGAAGATGCAGAAAGAGTCAGAGAGGGCTGGCAACTACAGAATTATCTTTGGCAAGTGTGGAGGGGGAGAGTGTAAACATCTGCCTATGAACGAATTTTATTCCGCCCCAGTAGCTAACCTTGACTGAGTGCTTATGCGGCGCCAGCCACCTTTGTAAGAAGTCCCCACAAAAGTGAGCTTATGATTGAGGAAACTCAAGCACAGAGAGGTTGTGTAATTTCCTGGAGTCACACAGCTAGAATGTGCTAGAACATGGTAGAACCAGGAATTACACTCCTTCAGATACCAGAGCCTGAACTCGCTACCACTCTGCAATGCTGCCTCCCTTTGTTGGTCCATTTATGTCAGAAGCAACTAAGCAATTTGTCAGCATCATCTCTTCATCCTCCAGGACCTCACAAGGAAAGGTCTGCAGTTATCCCTGCTTTACAGGTACAGATACTAGAGCTTAAGGACGATGTGTAAGACAACTCCTTGGTGGCAGAAGCTTGGACTCAAGCCTCATTTGATTGACTGCAGAATCCAGCCCCTTCACCTCCTTGAAACTGAGGTGAAAAAGCCCTTCTTCGGCTGCCTCTGGGAAAAAAGCACAGGACAAATTAGCATAGCGCAACTAGGACCCACGGGGCAGTGCTGCCGGAGGATGAGAGACCTGGCTGAGCCTCCAAGGGGGAATGGTGTCCTGGCAGAGGGAACAGCATGCACTGAGTCACAGGAGGGAGGAAAGCAAGAGGCAGCACTGGCCTCCAAACACAGGAAGCCTCCTTTACAAAGAGGTTAGCATCGAAAGTCAGCGGGTCAGGTAATAAATCACAGCGAGGGTCTGAATGTTTGGGTCCCCCACCAAACTCACATTTGAAACCCTAATCCCCAACGTGATGATGCTGGGAGATGGGGTGTCTGGTAGGGGGTCACTAATTCATGAGGGTGGAGTCCTCACAGTGGGATTAGTGCCCTTAGAAGAGACGAGAGAACTTGCTTCTCTCTCTGCTCTCAACCACGTGAAGCTACAACGAGAA